AGAAAAAGTGATAAAAAAAAATCGGACATTCGGGGGAGCGAACCCGGGTCGCTCGCGTGACAATCCAACGCGTTAACCATTCGGCCATTGAAAACACCGCTTCAAATTTTTAAATGCAAATATCTCGAGATTGGCTTTTTCGATTCTAAAACAAATTACATATAACGCATTCGCAAATGAGTCTCTATTTAAATTATTAACATCACAAAAAAATATTGAATAACAAAAAAGTTGGAAAATTGCATTTTTTAAATACCCTTCCGGTACAAACCGGAAGTACTGACGACGCACAAAAAGACGATTCTGCAAACCACAAAGTCATGATCTATCATCTCCAATTAGTCTCCAGTTCATATACTCAGCCATTTTCGATAAAAAGGGGCGACAAAATTGCATTTTAAAATCAGGAAATTGTCCATAACTTGGAACCGGAATCGTATTTTCCAAATTTTCCTTCAAAAGTAACAACTTCATATTATAACACATATTCTGTGAAAGTTTCGTTGAAAACCGCTGAATAGTTCTCGAGAAATCGCCTGCACAAAATTTTGTCAAAAAAAAGAATAATAATAAGAATAATAATAATAATAAGAAACAATAGAATCACTATAAGGTCTTCCGTGAAGACGGAAGACCTTAATAAGAAACAATAGAATCACTATAAGGTCTTCCGTGAAGACGGAAGACCTTAATAAATGCTGCTTAAGCTTAATTAATAACTTTTAAAGTCATGTACTATGATTATAGTGTATCTCCATTCAGAATAAATTAATTGTAAACAATACAACATGAACAGCTGATGAAGGTCTCACATATTACATTTTATTTGTATTTTAAGTGAGCAGTGTCTTTTTTAAAAAATAATTAAAGATTGAATATCAGTGTCATTTCGAAAAATATTAATTGAAAACAGGTTTAAATATCAATGGATTTACTTGAAATTGTCACCAGATTTTGGCAAAAAATTGTACCGACTTATAGGCGGGTCAATAGATCCCGCCAAAATAGCGTCAAAAAATACAACCGACTTGTAGGCGGACCGACTTATAGGCGAGTATATACGGTACATATTTCTTCAAATCCAGGAGTGACTATTGTTACAATTTTCAATCTGTCAATTGTAAAATTGCTTTTATTTGTTAAATATATAAATTTATCTTTGTTGGTTTATTCATTTTCTTGTGTCAATAACAAAAAAAAATAAATTTTGACATAGATAAACCTAAAGTTTAACATCTTCTGGTGTTTTGTTTTTAATTTTGAAGCCCCTATTACTCCAAATTTGGTGCATTTCCCTTAAAATCTTTTTTCTACTGCAAATCAGTAGGATTATATTTCCTTTCATAAACAACCAAAACTGGATTCAAAACATTGTCCAAAGTTTGTTTTCATATTTGTATGAGGCAAATCCAAAGGATACCCTTTTAATACCAATATCTGTATTAGATATCTTCAAGGTAAAAAAAAAAACACTAATCAAATTAAATGCCTCCTTTAATCCTCATTCTTTTAATTTCATGACAAAAAATAATCATAAAAAATAATGACAATACAGGATCAGGTATAAAAAATACAATAAATAAGCACTAACAATTAGAAGGGAAATTAAATAAGCCACATTTCCGATTCCGGATCTTCCTGCTTCCTTTGTCGGCCATTCCGACATCAGCACCAGACCCAATCTTTGAAACTCGATTTGTGTCATCCGTAAAGCTTGTCCACAGCACAGAATCCTAGGCTGAAATAGACAGGTCTGGGAAAAGTCCTGTAGAAATGCTTGTTTTGGATTTGTTGTCAGTATTTGGTGATATAATTTCCCAAGGTATGTGAGGTATGGATTCTTTCATTGCTTGTGTATGGTACTTGTCAACCGAAAGAATTTCACAAATCTGTTCATTAACCCAATGATGAGGTACCAGAGATTTCTGGCCAGTTCTGAGCGGGCTATGAGAATCCTCCACAGGGCAATCAGTAGCACAGTGTTGAAACAGTAGCGGATATTTCTCAATCTACATAACAAAAAGATTATCAAAATGTATTTGGTTAAAAAGAAAAAATCATGCTGAGCATGTGACAATGAAGAAGATATGAAATATTATACAAGTATTAATGAACAATCATATGTGGAAAGGATTGGAAGACCCTGCTTCTTTTTTATGTATTTTGGCCTCATTATTTCTAATATTCATTTTGAACCCATCAAGTTTTGGATAAAGAGGTTTGACTGTTTTTTTGCAGAAGAGTCAACTTACTTTCTCAGGTGAGCTTTAGCAGCAGGTAAGCCCGATAAGTCTTCATTCAGAAGAAATTTCTTTGTTCCAAGGCAATAATTTTCTATGTATGTGGGCCAGTGAAGTCCCCGTGGATCAAAGTAAAAGCACTGTAAAATAAGAATTCAAAATACAGACAAAGCAATAAGCATAGGTGCATTCTGATATTAAAATTGGGCAAAATAAAATCATTTTTAAAAGGCAAATATAGAGAGGAAATATTTTTGAAGTTTTAGTATTGAAGTAGTTTAAGGTATTCAATCCCTAATAGGATCAAATTCAGTGAAATTAAATACATAACAGATAAGTTGGCATTGAATACTCAGTTTATTTAGACATACTTCCCATTTATTACTATTAGTATGTATAGTGAGATGTGTCCTGTTTTATGACCTTGAATTTTGGTAATCTCCCTTGTTTTAATTAATTAAAAAAATCAATTAAAAAATTGTAACCGGCGAAAAAACTGTTTTCAATTGTTATTTTATTTTTGATGTTTCAATGCATCTTTCCACCGCAGGATTTATTGATATTCAGAGTATTAAAATTTTTATTTTGAAAAAAAAACGCTTTTCCCCATAGACTTCAATGCAATCTTTGTTAATCAACTACTGCTTTATTAATTAAATTTTTGAAACTTTCTCGCGGTCAATCTTTTTTATTTTTAAATTACTTTAATATAATATCAGAGTATTATGTACTTGACGGACATTTAAGGGTAGGGAATTTGCTCCCATTAGGGATGGAAATCCTTAAAACATACTTAAAATAGTCCATTATTTAATATGTATATTTGTTCACAATCCTACTGAAGATTTTTTTGTAACAGACACTTTTCTAAAGGGACATTAGATATACCTTCTTGTCCTCTGGGGTCATGTGACTGGTCAACATGTCAAGGTTATTGTAAGACCATTCCCATGAATGCATGGTAAAGTAGGTCAGAGTTCCAATGGCTTTGTGTAATCTGTTATAGATCTTGACCATCCTGAAATGCAACAGTAAATATTAACTGACTAACGTTGTTATTGATGCCAATTGAATTTCAGTAACTTTCAAACATTAAATTCAAAACTGGACATGTGAGCTTTGTAGTATTTTAATACCTAGGCCTTTTTCCAAGTAAACAGTAGCCCAGGTCTGCAACGTAAGCTGGCAGCATGTGTTCAATAAATGTGTAGAAATCATGAAGGAAACTAAAAAAAGAGGGGGTGTTATTTCTTTTTATTGCATTAAAATTAAACTGCATAAATTCTCTGTTAAGTATATTATCTGTATAAATATCTTACCCAGAGCTAGTGAGAGCTGCCTTAGGCCTTCTAAAGCAAGAATCAAGAGGCACTTTCTTCCAGAAATTCATCACAACTCCCTCTGCAAAATAAATGTATAGTTCATGATTAACACTATAAATTAAAAGAAAAATTAAATTTCCGCCCGTGTCCCATGGGAGGGCAAGATCAACATTGTGGATTCCCGACAATGTCTAATTATAGCTACTGACCTAATTCTCCCCAGGTGAATGGGTTGACGGAGCCAGTGGTACTGTGATAGATAAGGCAGGAGCTGGGTTTGGTTACGGCGGTGTACCAGGCGGCCGCGATGACCATATTGACGGGGATGTCCACTGGCACTATGTCCGCCACTCCACGATAGTCTCCTTTCATCGACCTCAGTATTCCTTTCCCAGCCTAAAGAATGAAACAAGGGCAAGTTCAATGAAAGAACTGCATATCAGCAGTGCTCGAGCAAAGACACACTGTTAATATTTTAAATTTAGATATCTTTAGAAGATAACTTACTGCTACATAAAGTCCACTGGGGCCATTGTAATTGTCAATCCAGCCCTGGAAAATAAAATAATTTCATTTTTCAACAAGTGTTTAGCACTGTAACAAAATCAATATATTTGCATGTCTAACATTGTGCAATTTTCTTCTTAGACCAATTACAGTGTTTATTCTATTAATTAAAAAAATCTATTTCCCCTGAGCTGAAATCTTTTACAACTATGATATGAATACTTACTGGGACGGGTTCCTTCCATGAAGCCCCTACAATGGAGGGTCTGACTATAGCCAGAGGTAGATCGGAGCCTTCCTTCAACAACAGGTGCTCGGCCAAGTGTTTGGTGTATGTGTACGTGTTAGGCTTGTTGCCGATCAGTTTTGGTGTTACTAGATTTATCATGTCATCATCCATCCATCTATATATAAAAAAAAAAATTCTCTAGATACCTTTTTTTTTCAATCTGCCATCTTCAAAAGCATAATAATGTTCATGCATGGACCAAATTCAAAAGGAGCACTCAGTAAAGTTGTGATTAAAGAACCGCCAATTATTTTTATTTGTCAAAACTTTTTTCATACATAAATTTCATGAAACAGTTTGCTCTCATTTTTTGCTTTAGCGTATTATTTTACAAATTTTAAAACTTACACAGAGTAATAACCAAATTTCTATTAATTTTGTTTTGCTTACAAATACTGAACAACAATGTATTAATTTTTTTTTTTTTACAAATACTGAATAACAATCTATTAGATTTGTTTTGCTTACAAATACTAAATAGCAATCTTGCAACAATAAGGTGTTCCAAAAAATTAGTGAGGTACTGTTTATACACTTTCAGCTAAAGACTTTTAAAAGATCACTGATAAAATTATCCATATAAAACTGCAATGTACATGTATCGAAAACTTACTCTAACACATCTATCAGTTTTTGAGGTTCCACAGGGGGATTGTATACCATTTCTTCTATGAAGGGACGATCACAGTTAGCATATGCTGTTGATATGTGTAGAAATACCTGTAAGCAAAATTTAATGGTAAAATAGGAAAACAAAATTAGCAAAATCCTTTCCTTAAATCAATAAAAATGTAAAATTTGTCAAGAATAACAGTGAAATATAGGTAAATCTTCAACATTTGATTAACTACCTGGATTATGAGGATAGAAGCTGTCAATAAACCAGTCTACAAGTGACCAGTGAGGGATATAGAGATAGTGTTATTTAATTTTAATTAATGCTCATTTAATTTGCACTATCACCCAGATTCTTACTGTTTATGACTTGAAAGAGACCATTACTAAGGTGAAGTGTCATGTCAAGATAGTTTATATAGATGGGAAAGATAAATACACTGAATGTACCATTTATAATTCCCAGTCTTGTTGCAATTATCCTTTTTGATTGTACAGTGTAATGGAAATTTTTTCATGAGTTATCCCTCTTTCCATTCTTTCTAAAAATACAACTGTCTCAAAAACCACAAGCCTCATCCCACATCCTGAGGATGTATACCCTGGTAAATGTATAATATACATCCTGAAGATGTATACCCTGGTACATGTATAATATACAAACTCTAAATGAGTTTAAATGACGAAGAAAGAATATGAATGTAGAGCCCTGATTAAATTCATATCCAAATAGTCCAATCCACACTTTTCAAAAGTTATGTCCCTTGGCCACCATCTTAGGGGATACACCCATACAATCCACACAGTAGCCTTTGTCGTTTTCAGGTTTGTAACTTCGTCATTTGACTTTAAAAAAGCTCTGCCTTTTGTGTACTGATTGCCCCAAGATGGGGCTACCCACACATTGAAAGAAAAATAATTATTAAAACACAATGGATTTATCACAGCACGCCCAAATATTTGGTAGCAATCGTAGCATAAAGAGGAGAAATGACGTTTCTTTCCCTTTTGACCTTTTGGTTGACCCCGCAAAGGGAAACAACTTTTGCAAAGTGTGGATTAGACTATTGGTACAAAGAAATTAATATCCTCTATATATTTCTATAATTAAAATTTTTAAAAAACATAGTTGTATTCACAGTTCCCAAGATCTCTTCATGGTATTGACCCTGAGTAAAATTAACTGATGCTATGCTCAACATCTATCCCTTTAATATTCAAGATTATCTGGCACTGAAATACTAGGAAGTTAGCTTGTTATCAGTGCATGTATTTTTTAAAGGAAGTCAAAAAAATTTCATTTAAGGAAATATTTGAATAAAACTCGGTAGATTTCCTGAAACACAGGAACACATTCTTAGCACTTACAGAAATTTACTTCTGTATTACACTAACAGAGAAGAGACAAATTATATATCCTTGCTTACCTCAAGATGTTTAAACTGTCTACATAAGATAACCATCTTTCTTACTGCCACTACATTCATTTCAACTGCAACCCTGTAAAAACATAATTCCATAATATACATAAAAGTTTCAAAGACAAGAACTTAGTTTTAATTGACATGTACAACAGGCAATTGTTATAGTATGCTTATCAGTTCAGCAGAATTAATAATATGCTATTAAATATTTTGGCATGAGTCAAGATTTTCCTCTAAACTGTATATAGGAAAAAGGACTTTTTTTGTTTAAAAAACAAAATGTATAATGATTGAATTTAATTGCCTGTGTACATGTCAAGCTGAATCCAAGTCAATATTTTTTTTTTCATTTTAAATTATTTTATCTAATGTATTCATTACAATTAATATTACAGTATCTGTAAAGAAACTACATATGAATGACCAACATCATCAAAAAAAAAAATATTGCCTGTATAACTGCATGCTTTATTCTCTATCCATCCCTGTTTCTGAGTTTGTCCATGTAAAATAATTTAACAAATGACGGGAAAACAAATTATAAAAGAATATTTGACTTTCAAGCAAATCTTACCTCAAATGTTCATCAAATCTTATGGTAGCAGCACTATGAAACACTATATTCACATTGTCACAGAGTAATTTTAGGTCATCTGGTTTTATTCCTAGTTCAGGTAAAGTTATATCACCGTATATAGGGACTAATTTCTCGTGAAAGTTTGGTTGTTCCTTCCTCAGTTTGTCATAGACCTGTAATTATAAAATGTTAAATTTATTCAAAAAGTATATACATAGTAAAACATACTTTTTAAGTAAAGAGTTAGGCATATGCAAATTTGCTAAGTTATGAAGGTGTTATTTGTAGGGATGTCAAATCGGTCAATTTTTAATACTCGGTTACTCGGACGTTTTTCCGATCGAGTACCCGGGTACTCGGTAAAAGTCTAAATAAATATGAACAAGTTAATTGATAACTGTAAAACATTGAAAAAACCACATGGTCTGATGGGAGGCTTACCTGTTAATGTGTTGTAACAATTATGACAACTTTGTGCCCGACGAAATTCAATCTAACATTTTTTTTAAGTCCAATTTATTTATCAGATAAATACGAGAAATAAAATCATAAATGGCTCACAGTGGTTTTGTTTTAAAAAAAATAATCTGCACCCTAATTGTAATGTAACTCTATCAGTGCGTTTGACGTATAAGTGATAAGTCGTCAGAGCTACATGTACAGTATCAACTTGATCAAGTTCTAACAGAGCGGATTTACGATCTTCGTACACTTTTTGATCATTGATTTCATTAAAATTACAAGACGGTATGTTGTAGTTTGGTGCAACGATGGACATAAGATTTTTAAAACCTTTGGATTCAACCATTTGCATTAATTGGCACGTAATCAAACGCATCCATATCAACAATCGCACGTGCAATATCGTCTGTCTCTTTCCCCGAGAATCTACGGCTTCTGGAGAATTGACAAAATTATCTAATTTATTTAAACATAATAGACCTTAAACGATGTTCAATGAAAACAGATAATTAGAGCAAACTAAACATAAGGGTAGAAGACAGCCGAAGGTGAGAAAAGCCAGGTAGGTAGCAGGTGCTTGGTCACGGTAATTACTGTAAAAACACTGCCACAGGCGACAACAGTCATTTGGAGGCTCAGGAAACCCTAATTACTGTATGTACAAGTGCAATGAACATTTTTCGTTTAAAACCGATATTTTAATGCATAAATAAATAAGCTTAGAAATATTTTAAAATATACATCCGAGTAACCGAGTACCGATTTTAGTATTCGATACTCGGACGTTCGATCGAGTACCCGGTTAACCGGGTACTCGTTGACATCCCTAGTTATTTGTTATATCCATTAAATTCACAATACATTCACAATACATTTTAAAACCACAGAAATGAAAATTACTTTGCTCTAAGCATAAATCAGTTATAAGTGTGTCAGCTATAAGCCAGTTCTACTGTATTTAAAAACTGTAACTTTCTATTTAGAATACATATAGCACTTATTTTAAAGACAACCAGTTCTCTTCATAATGATAATAAACAATATTTTGTTTAACATAGTCAGCTACAGTACTTACAGGACATTTACATATTTCTTCCACTCTCTGATCAATATCTTGTGATTTTTTGGGTCTCATTAACATGTAAATTTTGTTCACATTAGGACAACTCCGTAACAGTTTTTCAATCAGCACTTTTCCTATGAACCCTGAAGCACCAGTCAAGAAAACATTTTTTCCAGCATAGTACTCCCCTATGGATGGGAGTCTGGAATAAGATTCCATGGTTGACATCAGTCTATCTTCTTTCTTCAAATTCTGAAATTAAAAAAACATAGGTAATCAGAGATTACAGAGCTCACCTCAACGAATGTTGTCTTTAAATAAGGCAAAGTCACACAATTAACCAACAAAAAATGTACATTCCAAAAATGAAAATATCTAAGCAATTTTGATCTGATACTTTGAAGTAGACCAACATAAAAAATTTAAAGTAGTTCTTCTTCATAAAAATGTAATTCAGCATCTAAAGCAAATTTGAGTTTTCATCTCTTGATGCAACATTTGTGCAAGTTTGGTTTATACAATGTTATAAAAGCCTTAAATTTTTTTGGTAATAGACCTGCAACCATAACTTTAACCTGGTCTATTATCTGAAAAATATATATGTCGAATTCAGCATCCGAAGCAAGTCCATTAGTGTGCATCCTAAGATGTATCGTCCATGCAAGTTTGCACATTATAAGGCTCATAGTTAACTGGAAATGAAACATACATCAAAAACTAACATTTTCACTCATCCACAAAATGTAGGTCAGATTCAGCATCCGAAGCAAGCCTGGTAGTATGCATCCTAAGATGTATCATCCATGCAAGATTGGTCATTAAAGAACTCATAGTTACTTGGAAATGAAACCTGCACCAAAAACTTTTACTTGTTCACTCAACCGGAAAATGTAGGTCAGATTCAGCATCCGAAGCAAGCCCGGTAGTGTGCATCCTTAGATTTATCATCCATGCAAGTTTGGTCAACATAGGGCTTAAAGTTACTTGCAAATGAAACCTGCTCCAAACACTTTAACCTGTTCACTCAACTGGAAAATGTAGGTCAGATTCAGCATCCGAAGCAAGCCCGGTAGTATCCATCCTTAGATGTATCATCCATGCAAGTTTGGTCAACATAGAGCTTATAGTTACTTGGAAATGAAACCTGCACCAAAAACTTTAACCTGTTCACTCAACCGGAAAATGCAGGTCAGATTCAGCATCTGAAGCAAGCCTGGTAGTATCCATCCTTAGATGTATCATCCATGCAAGTTTGGTCAACATAGGACTTACAGATACTTGGAAATGAAACCTGCACCAAAAACTTTAACCTGTTCACTCAACCGGAAAATGTAGGTCAGATTCAGCATCCGAAGCAAGCCTGGTTGTATCCATCCTTAGATGTATCATCCATGCAAGTTTGGTCAACATAGGACTTACAGATACTTGGAAATGAAACCTGCACCAAAAAACTTTAACCTGTTCACTCAACCGGAAAAAGTAGGTCAGATTCAGCATCCGAAGCAAGCCCGGTAGTATGCATCCTTAGATGTATCATCCATGCAAGTTTGGTTTACATAGGGCTTATAGTTACTTGGAAATGAAACCTACACCTAAAACTGCACCAAAAATGTTAACCTGCTCCAAAAACATTAACCTGGTCATTCCTTTGCTAAAATTGCAGCATCTGAAACTTTGACTGGTACAATGAAACACACTAGAACCATCTTCCATGCATGTCTAATCAATATAGGACATAGAAGTACTTAAAAAGAAAACTGCTCCAAAAAACTTAACCTTAACCCGGGACGCCGACGCCGACACCGACGCCGACGCCAAGGGTATTACATAAGCTCCCCCAACTTCGTTGAGGTGAGCTAAAAATATTCATTTTTTTTTTTTACATGTTTATTGAGGTAAAACCTACAGTTCAATCAAGCAAATACTTTACAACAAGGGAATAACTTTCAGATAAATCAAGATTTTCAATAAAATCTTTAAATTTAATTTAACTTACATTATTTATTCTTCATTCAATAAAAATTATTTTCCTGTTTGTATGAACCTTGAATATTTACTTAGAATAACAGGTTAGATTAGAGACACCGAGAAAAATATATGTTAAGGACAAATTAAAACAAAGGGTGAAAAGTATTGAACTGGAATCTTAATATTCCTAAAACATTCCTACATGGTTTAAAAGTATGTTATACTCACTTATGATATTATTAATAAAGGTTTTCTTCAAGTATTTGGAACTTTAAGCCCATGTAAAATCGGATTTTGTGTCAGTTTATGTGAGCTTATTTTGATAACCTTTTGCTTTAATGGTATTGGGAATTACAATTGGTTAATTCTAACATATTGGTCCAATTTTTTAAATGCCTGCAATCTATTGAATATTTCGCAATGTAAACAATACCTGACGTTTTGATATATTTAATATAAAACTGAACACACAAAAACAAAACTTCCCACAAAATATAAGATAAATAGAACATTTATTGAAATTCACCCATTTTCTTGGCTCAAAGTTTATCTTTGACTGAGTTATGTGTTGGACTACATGTAGGTTTAGGCTATAGCAACTACAAACAGAAGGGGCATAACTCCTATTTGAGACAGTGACACCGGATACTTTCATTTCTAATCTTACTGCACTACGAGAGGAATCGGGCTCAATGACGTTGTCCAGTTATCTTATTTTAAGAAAATTCGAACTTATAAGAAAACTGTCATCATGAAAACAAGAAATCAATGAAAAGTACGTGGATGCCGGTGGCGGCCCAGCCCATGTCTACTTTCACATCCTATAGCGGTGTACATCAAACTAACCCTGGTTTCACACACGTCTAAGCTACATCAGATAGAAATCAGCTATTCTTACCTGCCAGTAAAATATCAAATCATTATTCTTTCTATCACTGATTGCTATCGTTGACTGATGACATGCATCTGTGCAGTGACCAAAAGTGTACGTTCCTGATTGGTCAATTTCTGCGCCTCATATCTAACTGGTTCCTTATCGATCTAAACTGGTTCTCCAAAAAGTTTAAATTTATACGATCAACCTTTATAATTCCGTTTTACTGTGAACCTTATTGCACTTAAATTACATAACTTATACATTAATATATTTTTAAGATTTAAAATACTATGAATAAAATATGCAAGTGTTGAATTATTGACCTAAATTATTGTCTTATCTTTGTGCAGAAAATGAAATAATGCAACAATAAACATATTTTACAGTTTACAGAATAAAGTGCCCCTTCTCCCGATTTACATCCAGGATCCAAGAATATTTTTTTCTGTCTTCTTTCATTAATTATTTCTTTATTATTGATAGCATTTATTCAATTAGTACATCGATTAAACAGCTTGATAAATTTACAGTTTTTACCATTTTATTTTACTTTTTAAAGTTATAGAGGAAATTTTTACAAATTATAGCGAGTTATTCGATTTATATATATTTTTTATATCATGACCTTATGTTCATCATGTGTTAATGTGATGTGACTGTGTAAATATGAGTGAAATTTGTCATTTTTGATTAATTAAAGCATTCAGAGGGTGTTTAGAATTGACCTTAGGACTGATAAAAGAAAAAAAATAAATAAACACAAACATGTAAACACACACACACACACACACACAAATCACCAAAGGAAACTATGAAAAGCATGCAGTGTTACTCAAAATTGAGTGGTCATTCTAAATAATAATTAGATTTTTTGGCAAACAAAATTGTCTATATAACTTAAAAGTTACATAGTCTCATGACTGACAGAATTTATAATTTATGATAAAGATTTAAGCCAATTTAACAATTGTTTATGGAGTCTGGTATTTGATCAATATGGCCTCATTATTTAAAGTATTTATTCGAGTATAAAAGTTAAGTTATCATGTTAGATCATTAACACTAGAGTTTGATTACGGATAGTTTTCATATTCTAATTTTTTAAATGTTGAATATTCAAATTAAATACACCTGTTTTAATCGTACAGAATTTCTTAAAAATTGTATCATGTTATACTATGTAACTTTCTTTGACAATGACCACGAATATAACTTAATTTGATATAGTAATTGTTGGCCACCCGTCAATTGTAGAGTTTAATAATTATATAAGCATTTTATTTAATAGTCTGACATACATGTACATAAATCTTTACCTTCTAGTATAATAAATCGAGCTGGTCTTTCCAGTTCAACAAACAAGCTAGCGCTTTCCAGAATAAATTGACCCCAAAATAAATATAGCATCCCCGATTGGTACATGTACCATGGAAAAAAATGAAGATCAAACTCCTGCGAAAGTCCACTGGAACAATTCGGACTTGGAGCAGAATCACCGCAGATCTCTAAAATCATCAATATTGGGAGCAAGTAACAAAGAAGAGTGTCGGCTGGTCACGCCCGCTATTCTCCTTGTTAAAATCGGACAAACGAACAACATCAAAGACAGTATTCGACTTTCGATTTTATAATAGTTGCTAACAAGGTCATTTATCGACCTTTGATTGTTTTTGCAAATTTTAAAACGTTCATAACTTTATTTGTATGTACTTGTATCATCAACCTATTTGTCGATAGCTTTTTTTCGTTAGAAATTGTTAGCACGTAGAACATGTGTATGAAATCAAATGGGATGCACAGGTGGAACTCGATATGCAGGTAAAATTGTAGCTTCAGAACCGCAGCACAATTAGTTTTATATATTAGTACGCTACAGGGTTATCCCGTAATGCAAAAAGGTGCAATTGTCGGTGCAAGATCTTCCGGTACAAGATCTGCGCACTATTTGGGAGAATTTCCAACCACTGTACAATCATCTGCCGTTCATTCCGTAAATCTAGGCACATACTTTAACAAACATACATAATATCTTAATTACTACCCAACCCTCTATAGTCGTCTCTTCATACGATGAACCTGCACTTGTCTTGATTCACAAAATCCAAAACATAGAGTTTTTCGGTCTATAGAGGCGACTTTAAAGGGTTAGGAGGTGAATCAACTATACAAACTGAATATAAAAAGGATATTGATCGAACTATGAAACGAAAGTGCAAATAAAATCGTGTAATCTATCTCATATTTTTGTTACTTCTCGTTTTTTGAAGGCAAATGGATTATATTTTTTGTTATAATACACCATATTTTACGACGGCGTATTAGTGCCATTTTAACAATGTAGAATTTTTTTTTTAAATCGTTTGTACGATTTAATAAATCGTTTGAACGATTTAGTAAATCGTTTGTACGATTTAGTAAATCGTTTGTACGATTTAGTAAATCGTTTGTACGATTTAGTAAATCGTTTGTACGATTTAGTAAATCGTTTGTACGATTTAATAAATCGTTTGTACAATTTAGTAAATCGTTTGTACGATTTAATAAATCGTTTGTACAATTTAATAAATCGTTTGTACAATTTGTTTGTTAAATCGTTTGTACAATTTATTAAATCGTTTGTACAATTTATTAAATCGTTTGTACGATTTAATAAATCGTTTGTACGATTTAATAAATCGTTTGTACAATTTAGTAAATCGTTTGTACAATTTAATAAATCGTACAAACGATTTATTAAATCGTACAAACGATTTATTAAATTGTACAAACGATTTATTAAATCGTACAAACGATTTTAAAAAAAATTCTACATTGTTAAAATGGCACTAATACGCCGTCGTAATATTTTCATATTTCATAGAATTTTTTTTTTTGACAAAACTATTTGTATATCAAGAAAATGTATCAGCCATGCAGGCAGGGGTATAAAATTTGACATTACAACAGTGTCACGATTACTAGTAAATTAAGAATAAACAAAAATACCCGGTAATATCTGATAACCATTTGATAGAGCAAAAACATGACTGAATACAAATCTGGTAAATGAATTGACGTTAATAGGGTTTGATTTGAAGCCAAAAGCTTGATTCCCATAACCCTTGAATTTCTAAGTTGGACAGGTAGATAACTATCCTTTTTTTATTTTATTTTATTAGAAAGAAGCTTTCAATATGTTAAAATTATATTTAATAAAACCTTTTTATATATAACAGAAGTGGAAGAATTTAAAACAAAATATAATGGACATAGAATGTAAAAGTTAACAACAAATGTACATGTATATGCTTCCATTTATAATTTAAGACATTCTAACAGATACCAGTTCTCATATAGGCAAGTTCTTCACTGACCCCGAGAGACCATTGGTAATAGAACATTTCGTTTCAAAGACTTGGAAGTAAATTTCTATGTCGATCATTCCACTGGCAGCTGATGGCATTCAAACGCGAGGAAAAATTCTAAGCTTCACGGACAAGCACAAACAAAACAAAGAATTTTAACCTATCTATGCAATTTTAAAATGCAAATTAAATTAAATGTAGTGAGATTGTACTTTAGGTGAATCCCTGATGAGGTGGGACTTTCTTCTTACCTTAACTTTAAAAACAAGTCCTTAAAACTCTATTGGGATATTTTTAATAGATCAAATTTTTCATAAAGAATTAAAAAAAAATGAAAAAATAAACATATAAAATTGACACAATAGCGTTATTTTACGATACAAGTTCTTTTTCTTTGAAAATCATATGTTTAGTCCGCTCCTTTGCATCCAATAACCCTATGAAAATCATAGAAGGGTAGAACGAAATAATCCATCTTTTAAAAGCATATTGGGATAAAATTTCATTTTAAATTTTTTTAAATGAAATAAACTTTCAAACATATCCAGTTGCCGCTAATTTATTGGATCGGAAACAAGTCAATAGTGTCTATATTTATTTATAGCTCTGAATACTTTGTATTTACTCCCTACTCTCACCCTAAAGAAAAAATCACCATAAATCATTAAATCATAATTTATCTACAGCAAATAAACACATTTAGTTATACATGTATATCATTCAAAATGAAGAAAGTTAAAAGAACAACATTTGATATTATCCATTGAAAGAAAAACATATGTTTTATGCCATCTATTTTACATTAACACAATAAGTCTAAGTACTAGTACTTGAACATTACTCTGAAAATCACACGTCGAATTTTAACAAATCAGATCATTGTTGAAATTAACACACAGCGCTCTTTCCTTGGCCGATGTTAAACGCCATCAGAATTAAGAATTGAGAAAAAAAAATTAATAAACCGTTTCCTTTAGTTAAATTGAAAAAAAATCTATCGGAGTCAGTTTCTTTCCAGTTTATTGAAATTGAGATCATTTACCATTCTTGAGAGCCTGTTCCTGTGATGGGCATCATTTCATCACATTCTAGGTCCTTCCTGCGCTTCCTTCGAATCCACAGATAACACCCTACAACAACAATCACAAGTCCTATGGCCACCCCTGCTGCTAGTCCGATCAAAAGAGTACGGACGGGCGGATCATCAGAGGCGGATTGTCGTCCAACTACTATTATATTAGGAATATCTGTGTCATTTGTCGAAAGTGTCGTAATTACATATACGTCTTCATTTATGGTATTATTAAAAAAATCAAAATTTCGTAAAGTTGTTTGATAGGACTTTGTACTAGGAGCAGAAGGCCGAGCTGTTATTGTGGTTGACGTAGTTTGCGGAGCGGGTTTAGTTGTTTTAAAACGTGTTTTTGTTGTCGCTTTTCTTGTTGAAGATTCTGTTGTTGGTCTGGTCATTTTCTTTTGAGTGGTGGTCAATCTTGTTGATCTAAACGCTGTCGTAGAGACTGATTGTTTGGTTGAGCTGGGTGGAGATGTGGCGGCAGTTGTGGTTGATTTTTTGGTAGACGCTGGTAAAGCTGTCGAAATTTTTGTCGGTTTTGTTGTCGATCTTACCAGTAACGTGGTGGTTGTTGTTCTTAATTTTTTTGTTGTTTTCGTCTTTTCTGTAGGCTCTGTAGTTGTTCTTGACTGCGATGTTAAGGTGGATGTAGTAGTTAATTGTTTGGTAGTACGCGGTGTTGTTGTATTTGTTTTTGCTGGTTTTGTGGTTGATCTCAATGCTGATGTAACGCTAGTTGTATCTGATTTCAGTGTTGAGATTTTTGTTGGCTTTTCAGTAAAGGATGCCGATGACGTAGCAGTAGCAGTTGACTTGATTGTACTTGTCCTGGTTTTTGTTGGTTTCTTAGTAGTGCTTAAGGTTGATGTGGAGACGGGGTTGGTCGTTGGATTTTTTGAGCCGTTGGTAGTTTGTACTTTTGTTTGATATCCTGTAGTGGTAAGAGTGATTTGTTGTGCTTTTGATTGCTTATCTGCTGGTTTTGTTTTATACTCTGTGGTTACGAATGATTTTGCGGTCGATGTTTCTACATTGGTTATTGGTTTGATACCCGGCTCTGACGTCTTCATATTAATAGTTTTAGTTTCTGCTGTGACTGAAATAGATGTCCCATCTTCAGGGATAACTGTTATATCTTTAGTTATGTTTGTTTGATCTGACTTGATACTCGTATTAATGTCAGGTTCTTTTGTCACACTAGCCACATTAGAAGTCACGTGACTCTTAGTTGTATGACGTATTGTTAACTTCGTTGAAGTCATATCTGTTGTAGTTTCCACTGTATTTGCGTCATGTGTTTTATCTGTTGCTTGTACTGAACTGGTCTCTTGTGTTACGCTTATTGGTTGTTGAGCTTTATTTGTTGTAACGTTTTGGGATGCTAGAGTCGTATCGATATAAGAAGTTGAAGTTGCAGTTAATTCAGTTGTAGTTGAATCTGGGATATCAAATATAATTAGAGCAAATTGAAATATATGCTGATAAACTGATTTGAACGTAATAAATAATGTAAATAAACATAGATAATTGCAAACAAAAAACTTTACTTTGAAGTAATAATAACCTCTGGCCATATATATATTTTCAGCTTGTAAACAACATTTGCATTCAGTCAAAGCTTAACGAGTTTCTTTGGAACAAAGTACCCTTTTTAATTGCTACTAATGACTCTGAACTTGCCCAACATCTCTTGTCAAGAAGTATTTTAATGCTTTTTAATTAAAAAATTAAGTCTGGACAGGAATTTAATGTATTTCTTCACAAATCCGAAAAAAATATAAGATATATCCATACATCCGGTATTAGGTAGTGACATTACATAAATATTGCATGTAGTTGAGTGTAACATTAAATGTTTTCACTCAAGATAACCACTGTCAACCGTGCGCAGCCGAGGTTGACAATGGTTTTCTTGGGTGAAAACATTTAATGTTACACTTAACTACATGGTATTTATTATATTATACTGAATTTTTTAGACAAATACATATTACAGTGAATCTTGCGCGCATAAATTCTGTGCAGTCAACATTTTTTGGAATATCATCCGTCGTCAAGCAATGTTGACTGTTGCTATGCTCAAGGGTATGGCTTCATTATTTAGCAGGTAATGGTGTTTTTAAACATATGTTTCTCTACGAATTAGATTCAACTAATTTACTTGAAAGTATAATACTTTGAAATCTATCCATATATTAGATAGTGACATCAAGGCCACATGCATATGGCACCTTCAGATATCATACAAAAAACCTTTTCGTCAATTACGAGGACAAAAAAATTAATTCTTTTCTGTAAATGTACTAGTATTGCCCAAACATAAAATAAGTATTTTGTCTTAAAATGGCATATTACTTGCCGACATAATATTATTTTTATACCTTTAAAAATTTGTTCCTTAACAAATCTATACGAAAAAAGTCGAACATTTGTTTTGCTGAACGGGCATAAAAAAGTCGATGTTGGACCGCTGAGTGAGATGTTGGACCGGTCGATGAGATGTTAAACCGCTTACGTCACAGAATGGGCGGAATTTAATTTCATTTTCATTCTTTAGTGTTCAAAAGTGACGGACCTGAGGTCACGGAAGACAGTAAAATACACATGTATGTCCAAAAAATAAAAATGAAAGGTATAACAAAACATTTATTGACTAAGTTCTCGGGCAAAACGCGGACCCTCGAATCAAACTGTCTGCCTTCGGCCTAACCGCCTCAGGCAGACAGTTTTGGTTCTTGGGTCCTACAAAACGCACGTTGTCCTTTAACGTAGTCAATAAATGTATAATATTATCAAGTAATTAATAACTACCTCGGCTATTCCTTAAGAAGTCACGATAAATTACTATATGTGTTTAGCAAACTATGAATACCAAGAAATACATAACAGTCCATTTAAAAATCTTGGATAAGATGAATTAAAAGGCATTTTCTAAGAGTCGGTGCTTGGTATTTGTCCAACACAGTGTTTCTGCATGGTAAATTAAGTAGCATTGAAAAGCATTAGAGCATAACAGAGTTTCTGGTAAAGTCAGCAACATTGAGTGGCATTTATCGAAGACAGAGTTTCTGGTAAAGTAAGCAGCATTGGCTGGAATTTGTTAGGGCTGAAACGATACGCCCCCTCCACGATACGATACGTATTGCAATACTTGTGTCACAATTCAATTTTTTCAATACGATACAATTTAAGAAAGAAACTATTCATAAGGTTAAAGAAAACATATTCAGATTTCAAAAAAAAGTAAAAGGTGGTGATACAATAGAGAAATACTACCAGGGGTATGCAATATAATATTTAAGTACTAGCCCATGGGCAGCATTACAGTTACTAGCCCCAAGTAAGAAGTTACTAGCCCAAATATAGGGACAAAAATTGAAATAAAACTAATGTTGAAAAAAATTAATCGTAGAAAAAGTCAGGGTACTATATAAGGTCATTCTTTTTTCAAAATAAAGTTTAATTCTCACTATTAAAATTAAATCTTATAAAATTAATGATTATGAAAGAAAAATAAATGAATTTTTAAAAAATTATCTGATGATCTTTCCGTTTCTGATTATTTGCACTAGCTAATTTAGAATGAAAATAAATTCCTTTTGTTTTCATATTAAATTATTAAATACACTAGAAATGTATTTTATGTGAGTCACAAAACACTGATCTTTCAGTTCATTGGGTGATCGTAAATAATTCAATAAGAATATATTTATTTACAATAAACGGAGGAATGGAGGAAATTCGGATTAGGAAAAAACGATCGTTTTTGGAAGTAAATAAGTCAGATAGTACTGCAAAATGGAGAAAATTATTGAGATTTATTGACGGTAGAAGCATGCTGCCTGGAAAATATTCACTGGTTGGGAATTTGATAGCAAAAAATGAGTGAAAATACCGGTTGTATTTTTCATGTATTGCATGCCAAGTTATAATTTTTTCTAGCCCGAATTTCCAAATTTGTTAATTGCACATCTCTGACTACTTGTGGTTCCGTTGATTAAGAGCACTTTATTCGTATCATTCATAGCAGTAACAGCCTGCTCTGAAACTTTACCGTCCTTTGTGTGTGTCATACTAATAAAATAAGGTCGAACCCGATCTATTTTAAAGAGTTAACCAAACCCGATTATAAAAAACGTATCGAACCGAAAATCGAAATGGTGAATCGAACATTGAACCGAGCAATTATATCGAACAATATCGATATTTCGGTGAATCGTTTCAGCCCTAGAATTTGTACAATAGAGAGAGATTCTGATTAAGTCAGCAGCATTGAAACGAAATGTGTTCAAGAGACAGCTTCTGGTAAAGCTAGCAGCATTGAG